CTCTGAGAAAGAGTTCAAGAATTCTCAATTAATGGAAGATAAAAATCTCCCATTTTTAGAGCTTCTACAACCAGTCCGAATCAACGGACTCAGAAGAATTTCTGAAAAGATCATTGAGGTTCTCTCAGGATCGAAGAAAAAGGTAAACTATTCAGACTCTCACTGTCTAGTTACTAGTCGGAGTTTTAAAGACACCGAAGACAAAGACCTTTCTCTAATCTCAAGATTTGGAGAAAAGTTCATGATCAACAGCTTTGAAGCTAACAGCAGCACAAGAAAAATGTTCTGCAAAAAAGCCGAACAATTGTTTGAAGATCACCACTGCAATTATTGCAGTGATAACAACAAAAGCAAAGAGGACCCCTCTACCGAAGAGACCGCTTCGTCGTTTTCTAGCTAGAAACATGGCGAATATGTCAGAAGATAAAACAGCAGACTAGTACTGCGTTTTTCAAACACCTACTGCATTATTGCTAAAGGGAATCTCCTTAGTGGAGAAATTTGATGAAGAAACAAATTTCAACATCATCTCATGGGGACCACCACCCACCAAGCGGGGCCCACACCCACTAACTCAATTATTAAGTTATTTCTGTAGAATTTCGTTCTATAAATAACAATGTAATAGATCAGTGGTAGGGGAGGCAAATCAACGAGAGCAATTGGCAAGCGACTCGGGATCTACTCCTAGAAAATCAATTTCAGGACGTCTATCCTGAGATGCAACCAATCTCTCTGAGAGAGAACCATGTATAGTATGAGTAGCGAGTAAAACTCCTTAAGAGGAGATGTAAAATATTGAGGAAGTCCTCATTTGAGGACTTACCTGAAGAAATAAAAGAAGTATTATGTAGTTATACTTCGTCTCGTTTACATATCGTCAATATAATTGAGGAAGAGTGACAGAGCAGGATGGTCAGGAGATTGCTGAGTACCGCTAGGCAGGAGGCCGTTTAGGGAAATGAATCAGACCACAACCCGGCAGGCTGGCGTTCTTCAAATATCATTAACGATAAGTAAAGAGCAAGGTATAAAATACATATACTTACTTTTGATTATTTCTTCAAGTAAGAATTTTCTCTTTATTTTATATTCTCTTCTTATTAAAAATCATACTAATCTTTTTATAAAGATAAAAAGGGTATTATGCCTATAAAGAAATTGGACCAACAGGTCTTAAATAAGATCGAAGAGATCGAAAAAGAATTCCAAGATTTATCTGGATTATTAAAATCAGCTGAAGAAAGAAGAGAATCTCTTCAGGAACGCATAGATATGCCACATGAGGGTGATTTCATCCATTACGATCTTCAAAGGTTTAAATCAACAAACCTTAAAGGTATAAAAATTCTTCAAGAACTTCTTGAAAATAATAGAAATTTACTTTCTAAAACAAAAAAGAAGCTCATAACTTCTTGTGACTCCTTGTTTTAATACAAGCTAAAAGTGCTATCTTTAAAAATAGCTTTATCAGGACCGGGCCTTCATGCTCCCAGAGTCCAAGAAAGCAGACTTCTTTCGAAGTTTGTATTTGTTCTTAACCCGTATTCCGCTTTTAGGGTTATTAACAACGAAAAACGTGCCGTTAGGGTATTACTGGTATCAGAGCCCTAACGGCACGTTTTTCGTTGTTAATAACCCTAAAAGCGGAATACGGGTTAAGAACAAATACAAACTTCGAAAGAAGTCTGCTTTCTTGGACTCTGGGAGCATGAAGGCCCGGTCCTGATAAAGCTATTTTTAAAGATAGCATTTTTAGAAAATACAACAAAAGGAAATTTGCTGTAAAATAATTACACGTTGTGTATAATATTTTTTCGAAGCTGTAAGACCTCGTATTTTAAATTCTTTATAGAATTAACTATAAAGTTTTTTCGATTTATTAAATCAGATCTTGAGAGATCTTCGTAAAGAGGATTGAAAGAATACTCTTTAATTTGTTTATTTACTTCTTGTAAATTTGAGTTTTCAGTCTCGAGATGAATTTCAAGTTCCTGAATTTCTTCTAGAATCTGACGATTCCATTCTTTAATGTTAAAAGACATTAATTTTTTTTTTCTTTTATAAAATTGTTTCTAAAGATATGTGAGATTCAAGAAAAGGACGTAATAAAAGGAATTATATACCTGTTCGTATTATAAACGAAGATAGATCATCTGTAATTTTTTCTGGGAATGAGTGTGCCAGCCTGCTGGGTTGTGGTCTGATTCATTTCCCTAAACGGCCTCCTGCCTAGCGGTACTCAGCAATCGTTTTGACCATCCTGCTCTGTCACTACACCCGGTTTTTCCCCAAAAAAAAAGGTGTGGATGATAAAAACATACGTTTATTATACAAAACAGGCAGCCCGAAGGCTTCCTTCTTATTACATCCTCTCTTGGAGGWAACTACTCACTCTTATACATAGTTGAAACTATATACAATGTTCTCTCAGAGAGATTGGTCGCTTCTCAGGATCGACGTCCGAGTTGCTTGCCAAATGCTCTCGTTGATTTGCCTCCTTTACCACTGATCTATTACATTGTTATTTATAGAACGAAATTCTACAGAAATAACTTAATAATTGAGTTAGTGGGTGGTGGTCCCCATGAGATGATGTTGAAATTTGTTTCTTCATCAAATTTCTCCACTAAGGAGATTCCCTTTAGCAATAATGCAGTAGGTGTTTGAAAAACGCAGTACTAGTCTGCTGTTTTATCTTCTGACATATTCGCCATGTTTCTAGCTAGAAAACGACGAAGCGGTCTCTTCGGTAGAGGGGTCCTCTTTGCTTTTGTTGTTATCACTGCAATAATTGCAGTGGTGATCTTCAAACAACTGTTCGGCTTTTTTGCAGAACATTTTTCTTGTGCTGCTGTTAGCTTCAAAGCTGTTGATCATGAACTTTTCTCCAAATCTTGAGATTAGAGAAAGGTCTTTGTCTTCGGTGTCTTTAAAACTCCGACTAGTAACTAGACAGTGAGAGTCTGAATAGTTTACCTTTTTCTTCGATCCTGAGAGAACCTCAATGATCTTTTCAGAAATTCTTCTGAGTCCGTTGATTCGGACTGGTTGTAGAAGCTCTAAAAATGGGAGATTTTTATCTTCCATTAATTGAGAATTCTTGAACTCTTTCTCAGAGTTGGCTAGACCAATGTCTAGGAAATAGTAAGGAGTGAAACAACCATCGTCTTGCCAGTCTGGGATAGAACTGAACATTCTGATGTAAATGGGATCATCCTTTGTTTTAAGAACTCTTTTTCTGAAGTTCTTAATGGCTTCTACCACGCCGTCAGGGAAGAACTTAAGTTCTTGTAAGTTGTGGCTTGGGTAGAGGTTGTCAATTAGTCCTGCTTGAAAAGCTTGGTGAACTAATTTTGGGTCTGCGCCTTCGACGAAGTTATACAGACTCTTGCTCTTCTTGTCCGTTGTGAAAAATCTTTCATGGACAAAATCTTCTGGTATAGCAGCTCTTGCTTTTTCCCAGATGTTTTTGAATTCTTCTATGCCGATTGTTGGATAAACGACCGCATTGTGAATTTCTTTAGAAATCAATTGAGGTTGATCTCTACGTTTTTCTTTGACCGTGTGAATTCTTGGTCGAAGAAGTATCTTTTTGCCGCTAGGCTCTTTATCTCTGTAGGTGGCTAGATGAATTTTTGCACTGGTTTCATTTCGGAACTTCTTGCAAATGACCTTATCGGTTTTGCAGTAGGATTCGACGAGCTTCCAGTCTGTATGAACACCAGCATG